GGCTGCTGCCATGGCCTCAGCCGCGGCGATCTGGAACTCCTTGCTCTCCCGGCTCTCCGCCAGGCACTCGCCATTCTCTGCGTGCTCCTGGGCCACGGCTTTTTCCGTCTTTGCCTGTTTGGGATGGATGGTGGGGCAAGCTGAACTCTCAGCAGCTCTAGGGCAAAGCACAGAGGGCTTGTTTAAAGAGGGGTTGTTAGACAAGTGTCCTGACGCCTCTCCCCCCTTGCCAGCCCAGATCATGGGAATGGAGGCAGGCATGTTCCCCTTCTCCCCGCCATCCCTCTGCCACTGCCATGCAGCCCAGCCAAAGCCTGGTACCTTTTCTTTCCACTGCTCTTCCCAATGGCTTTGGGCACTTTGTTTTCTGCTTTGCTGGTTGGCACAGGCCGGTCCAAGTGATTCCAGAGCCGATGCTTTTCCAGCTGGGTTTTGGAGGTGAAGGCAGCTTCACAGTATGAACATGAGTATGTCAGCCTCTCCGAGATTGCACCCTGCATGGAGCAGGGAGAGGCAGGTGAGCATGGATGTTAGACCATAGAAGGGGCAGACTCTTTCTAACACAGGTATGAACATACCCATCTGCCCCTCCAAACAGCTTCCAATGGCCCATAATCCCCCCAGGCCAGACCATACACTGAACTGGAGGGACCCCAGTGTCTCCCATACACATCTCACGAACCACCCCTGGCCCATCTCTGCCCTCTGCATTTTAATCTCACATTTCTCCTAGGGTTTAAGGCCTGAGAGGGGCTTTACTCTGCAGATGGTAATGGAAGAGCAAGCCACTGGAAAGGAGAGACAGTTCTCTGGTCTCCTTACCCCTTGGCAGCGCTGATAGTGGTACTTCAAGCCATAAATGCTGGGGAACTCCAGCCAGCAACCTGAATTGGGACATTTCACCCTGGAGTGGGCTTTGAATTCGTCCTTCCACTGGTTCATCAGGGGGAGCTGGGGACAGGAGAGACAAGAGACTGCTGAGTAAAGAGCACTGTGTGTCCAGGTGTGTGTGTCAGTGCATCCCAAGAGGGCCGGGGGGGCACATGGGACACCTGATCATTCCTGTCCATCTCTTCCCACCACACAGCCACAAACTGTACCCCAGGGGTGTGTTTCAGTGCAGCACTGCTCCCTCCAGTGAGAGATTCTGGGACAGATGCTACAGGCTCTACAAGCTAATGATTCCTCCCAGGGATTTACCTTGCTGTGCCTCCCAGAGCGCACACACACTCCCCGTCAGGCTGGGGAATAAATCAGGCCCGAAGTCGTGCGGGTGATTTAATCACCCCACATTTCATCTAGTCAGTAAATCACCCCATGCCCGTGCTCTCATGACAAACTGCTCCGTGTGTTGTCCATGCTACCAGGCAGGAATTAAACTGCACAACTCTGCAGGGAATAAATCACCCCTTTGCCGTTGCTGCCGGATCATTAGCCAAATCTGACACCGTGGTGACAGGATCCAGCTCATCTGGGCATGGCCCTGGGAAGGAGAGGCTGGGGGTGGGTACTGTTCCCTAGCCAGGTTTTAGGAGGGTACTGGATGCCTGCATGGAGGGGGTGAGGGGCCAAGCTCTTGCTCAGCCCAAGACAAGGCAGCTCGGATGACTAAACCACCGTGAAGGCAGGTTTAATCCCAGAGTGAGGCTGGCTGGAGCATGCAGTGCAGGGCAAATCAGAGGGCGTGAAGCAGGGAGGGCTTCAAGGAAGGAGGGGGGTCTTACAGGGATGTCTTTCAGTGCCTGGTTCTCAGCCTTAGGTCGTCCTTTCTTTCTGCCTTCAGTTTTGTCACTGGTTGCATTTCCTGCAAATAGACAAGCACCCATCACCAGCCATGCTGGAGGAGCCACTGTCCTGGCAATCTTGCTGCCTGGCTCCAGCTTCCCGCTGCCCAGCTGGCTCCCTCGGCTCTGGGCTGCCATTCTCTGCCCTGGTAAGGAAGGAGAATTCCCCTTTGGAAGGCAATGTCAACTCCCCTGCAATTCAGGTGCTGATAAGATGTAGCACAGGGAAAAACGCTCTCCTGAACACAGGCGTGTTCATGCTGTGGACAGCTGGAGTTCATTCCCCTTAGCAGTAAGTTATCCTTCTCTGCTAGCAATTATGGCTTCAACGCCCTCAAGGTAAGAGTGACATCTGGGAAACATTTAGGGCACACGCATTTCCCTGTGAGACCACTGATTTTGGGAGGCTGGTCTGGGATACATCGCTGGAGTCCAACCCTCTCCTGGGGTCCAGGCACTTCTCACTGTCTGGGGCTGCTGTCAGCAAGGGAAAGGCAGTGAGAGCCTCTCTGCACATGCAGAGGGCATCTGCCCAGCATAAATTGATAGGAAAAAAAAATAAAAAAACTCCTTGGGCCTGGAGATTCCTGGATAGAGAAATCAGCCATCCATCAGCGTGACAGCCCTTAGCGTGAGGGTCCCCCGGGGCTCGTAGGCTCACGAGGCTCCATCCCGGGGGCCGCGACACGGGAGGCAGCAGATGGTCTGAACTCATTTAAGCCTTTCCATCCTTTGATGTAACACTTAGCTACCAACACGATAAATAGGCAGCGAGACACCCATATCGTTAAGCCAGACACACGCCTCCCCGAAGGCAGAGACCATCTCCAGCCCTCCCCTCCCACTCCAGGGACCAGCTCTCTGCAGCTCCCAGGGTCTGGGGATTTTTTTGGCCAGCACACCCCTTGCTGGTGGGTCAAAGTGAGGAGCAGAGGTACAGTGAGACCTAATGCACTCACACCCTCTTGTTTTGGCAGCCACCCCCCAACTCCTGCCACTGGGCTCATCCCCTCCACCCCATCCAGCTCCACGGAAAGAACAAACCATATCCTTACCCAGCTTGGGCAGCTCTGACGGTGGGTTTATCCTTGTCTCCGTCCTGCTTTCCTTGCTGGCAGTGGGTTTGTTAGAGCCTGCAGTTTTCCTTCCACCTTTGCAGGTATAGGAATCCGCCATCTCTGAAAGAAGCAGGGGAGGCGTTAAAATTCACTCCTCGGAGCTGGGAACAACACATGGTGAAAGCAAGGAGAGCTGCTGGGGAGGGAGGGGAATGAGAAAACTATCACACAGCTTAAAAGATTCCCACAAAGAGAAGAAACGGGACGTGATTCTGAGTACTTGTTCTACGGTCGAGGAACGCCACAGACATGGCTGGAAAGCTGCTTTCATTACAGCCTGGCTTCCCCTCCACGTACAATGGCAAAGACTTTATTAAAAATTATGGGCTGACTTTGCCCAGAGAAGTAGCGAATAAATGGGTTTTCCTCTTCGTTTATTTCTCTGCTTTCATTTAAGACACCAAAAGAAAAAAAAATAGTGAGTTTTAATGAACAGATGTAGTGATAAATTTCCAATTTTCCTTATTAATGGGAAACTGTTATAAACTGAGAACTGTTAATGTTATCTGAATTTTCCGTATTAATAATTCAATTTGGCTTCTCCATAAATAATGAACATCAGGAATTATCGCAGAAGTCCCACTCTCACTCCTGATGGAAGCAGGCAGGCAGCAGGACACCCCTCTGTTCCTGGTGCCAGGAGGTGCAGCTGGCTCTGCCTCTGGCTTCAGGTTCCTTCTTCCTCCCCTCCAGACAGCTCAAGCAAACACATGTCCAAGGATGGGGGCTGCACTGGGAGATGCCACATGTGGATTTGGGGGAAAGAAGTCATTCAAGCCTCCACAATGAGCGCATCAGGTTCTTGAGAAGTGATTCCTTGGACAACCACAGCCTTGAGAACTTGATGGAATGTGATGCTGATGCTCACCCACAGGTTTTTTAAAACATGGATTTGACTTGTCACCCCCAATTCCTCCCACAAGATCATGTTTAGCAACATTTAAATCAATGGAGTTGATTCCTGGAGCATCCAGAGTCATCCTGCCTGTCCTCATTCCCAGAGGGACAAGGGAGCAACTCCTGTGTTGTCAGATCACCAGCTATGCCACCAACACGTGGGACATGAGGGTCCTGCAGTCCTTTCTGAGCTGCCACGGGGACTTGCCATGTGGAATCGTGGACTTTCCATGTGGGATTGGGCACTGCACATCGCATGCAGCTCACATGCCCTGTGAACTGGCAAAAGCTTCCAGCATGTGTTCGGCTGGTGACACATATGTGGTTGTTTTCATGGACACAAAGGTTAATCGGATCAAGTGAGAAATTCCAGCCTTGGCAAAAGGTTCTGTGGCATTTGGTGCTGAACACAGGGACCGTTGATTCAGCTAATTTGGGCTCTTTTGGTGGGAGAGCTGGGTAGGAACTGAAGCCTGACTGCCCTCAGCTCCTTCCTGGAGCAGTCACAGAGAGGAATCCCTGCAGTACCTTCCCAAATTGCTGCTCCATCCCACCAATGTGGGCACTGCCACTGTCCCCAATCCTTCAGGGATAAACATGCCAGTCTCCTTCCTTGCCATGCTGCCTCCTGGCACCTCTACTCCTCTGAGTGATCCTTGCTCAAGTCGTTCAAAGTAAAAAGCGAAAAAAGCATCACAGAAGACCAGCAAAGTGAAAGCTGAAGACGACAAGATCTCTGTGCTTTACAACAGGGTGGAAACCAAGGGGAAACCCATGCAGCTGACACCTTCATCCAGCCAGGGCTAGTGCCAAAACGCAACAGGTGACGGAGCACAAAACCTCCGTGTCTGCCTCACTAGGCAGCTCAGGGTGACATGCAAAGGGTGAGTCCATGCCCATGGTGCTCACCTCCTGCACCCCAAACACCCCATGGCAGTGCACACCACTGGGCATCACCCCAACCCTCCCTTCCCACAAACACATCCACATCCAAGGTGCTCAGCTCAGCACTGCTCCCACAGCTGGACACTTCTCATTCCCCTTAATATTCTCATTCTCCCCTCAAAGGGATCTTCTCTACCCAGCTCAAGAGTTTCTGAATCTTTTGGTTTTCCACACCAAATACTTCTTTGAATTTTCTCTCCTTATGTTTTTGACTAAATGAAAAATAAAGATCTCATAAACCACTTAGCAAGAGCCAAACTCTGCTTCTTGACCACTGATACAACCCCAGGGATCACAGCAGAATCATCCCACAGACAGAGCAAAAATCAGCCTGTTATGGGTTTTTTATGTAATGTCCAAACTTCACACATTTTTGAGTAACACACACTGAAACTGGGCCTGTGCTTTTTCTCAAGGTTTTGGTGAAAACACTTTTGCAACTGGTAATGGGAAGTGAAGGTATCCACAGATTCTAGCCATGACCACGCTGGGGTGGGGAGCAGGAAGGTTAGGACTGGTGGCAGCTTTGCTGATGAAGCCTCCACCTCTTTTTAGGTAACTTTTTAGAAGTTTGTGGCAACATTTTTGAAGTCTTCCACTCCAGCTTCAAAAAAAAAAGCCTGTGTCAACACAGGAGCCACTGTGGGATGAGTAAGGCTGAGGCAGCACTGCCAGGAACAAGGCTGAGGAGGAAGACTGAAGCCTTGGGAAGGGGTGAGCAAAACCTGGGAATCCACCATGGCAAAGGCATTGCTCCCAAGCACTGCCAGCCCTGCACAGCCATGCACTCCTCTCTGGGTTTGACAAGGGACATCAGTCTCCAGCTGCTCACAGCCCCAACAGGCTCATTCCCTCTGTGACAGATCTCTCCTCCAGAGCTGTCAAGCTCTGCAGGCTGGGCACAGCCTGGAAATTGGGCATAAAATGGGAAAGGGGAAATAATTCCATGTAGAAATGCCTGTCCGTGACTTTGGATCAGGTCTGCAGGAGTGTGGACACATGGCAGTGACCCTCTCAGCCCCACAACATCCTTATGGCTACCAGGAGGAAAGTCACAGTTGGGTCCCGACTACAAGTTCTCCTGCCAGGACTCCTGTCCCAGTCTCATCAGTATAGATGTGCTAATGCTGCATGCCAAACACCTTGGTCACCCATTGATCCACTCCACTTATCATCAATAATTTAGCAACAGCTCCAGAGGCAATGCCAAACAGCAAAGGAGCTGCTGCCCCAGCACAAGCCACATGCCAGCAGAGACATGACAAGGCCAGCACGGACGACGGATGCCAAAGGACACTGCCATCCCTGTCGCTGTCAGAGGAGCTGTGCTCCCTCCCGTGAACTCCAGGCAGAACTGGAGCCGCTGGAAAAAACTTCCAGGGAATAATGACAAGACAGCAGCGGGAGAGGCTTCCTCGGGAGGGAGTGGAATCGCCCTCGCGGGAGGTTTCCCTGGCACGTGGCGGGTGAAGCTGCTCCCTGGGCACGGCTGGTGGCCAGGCAGCTCC